TCCGGCCTGTTTCACAAAAGACTACACATTCTGTACATTCTGAGATTCCACTTATGTGGAGTTCGAGAATAGGTAAAACCAATCTATGATGATGTAAGAATAACTGTTCCCTCTAGGGAGTACGTTCTGACTAGAAAGGAACACCAGAACCTTCTATAGTAGAAGAAATGTTTATTTCTGGATCTGGGAGGTAGAAACACACACATAAGCTCACACTTTGGGTACTTCACACACCGTTATACCTCAAGTTAAAAAAAAAAAAATCATCCAATTGACTTCAAGTTTAGGCTTACAACCATTAAACCACCACACCACCACTGATAGAACCTAACCACCCACACTCCAGAGTTGATTATCTTGGATGATACCTTTAAAAAAAAAAAAAAAACATTCCAGTAAGCAATGAACCTTCTAGTCACATCACACTGAACACATCTGAGCAATAAACTTGGTTTAAAATGCTGCAGAATGAAAAGTGGAAAGTATCGGTTTCCTGGCTACTGGGAATTTCCCCTCTGCAGCCACATGAGAATTTTTTTTTTAAAATAATATAAACCCTGCTATAAGGGAACATTTACAGAGGCACAGAAAATAACCTGTAACAAAGTTCTTCAATTTAACTATGGAAATGCTGAAAGTTTAAATTACACAAATATTTCTAGATGTTATAACTTTATCAACAATGCTGACTCTCACAAAGGTTGGATTTTGTTACAATGATTAAATCAAGCCAAGACAAAGCTGCTGAGCAAAGGACATAAAACTCACAAAAGGAGCAACTTAAGTAGTGTAAAAAAACTCAACCCAAGAGTTATAAGGAATAGAAAACTCAGTACAAATAACTTGTTCTAGCAGTAGAGACTGGGCCACTATGTGTGCCACTGCCACCCCCCACACACAAAAAAAAATTCTCCATCAAGTAATAAATTCTTCTCACTGAAGCTTTGTTAGACTTGGCAAAGCCTCATCACCAGTGGGTGATGATGAAATCATTACATCAATTCTCTCAAAGCCTTACCCCACACATGTGCACACCTCTTATCCGAACAGTAATTGCCTCTCCAGAGAGAGGAATATATTCATCCTACAATTTGGAGACAAATTTGGCAAGTGCCTACTAATAGTTATCCCACCTTGAGGCAGTGGCGGGAGAACAACTGGACCCACACCTGTTGGGGGTATACATTCTTCTTCTT